CTCTTCATAAAAGTTTTATTGGAAAACTGGAGTAGAGAAATTGGGTTGTATATGCAATAAGACGTGGAGTCAAGTACCATCTTCATTAGAGCCTCTTTGATAGCAGTGATCCTGTAGAGAAGGCACAATTGCAGGAGCACAATCTTGAACATTGAGAAATAGTATGGGAAAGAAGACAAGTAAAATGATTTAGCTTTAAAAAAGGAGCAGAAATGCTTCTTCAGTTTTAGCAGTGTTGGGAGGGCAAAGAGTATTGGATAGATACAAGTGGAAGTGGCTTCAGAGATGAGGTAGTTCTCATTTGATTGTTGTAATTGAGGTTTTATTTTTTGGAGATAGAATCTTGCTCTGTCACCTGGGCTAGAGTGCCATGGTATCATCATTGCTCACTGCAACCTTAAACTCCTGTGCTCAAGCCATCCTCCTGCCTCAGCCTCCAGAGTAGCTAGGACTACAGGCAGGTGCTACCACACCTGGCTAATTTTTCTATTTTTTGTAGAAATGGGATCTTGCTCTTCCTCAGGCTGGTCTTGATCTCCTGGCCTTGAGCGATCCTCCCACCTGGACCTCCCAAAGGGCTAGGATTATGGATGTGAGCCATCGTGGCCAGCCCTGATTGTTTTAATTAAAATATTAAATAGGTCTTTCAAATAAGAGTTAGAAAACTTACAGTCTATTTCAGGTTTTACTAACTGAATTTTGTGATCTTATGTAAATTATCTGTCAACTTGGATAAGTCATTCCTTTTTTCTGGCTCTCAGTTTCCTTAATCTTTGCAAAGAAAGGAGTGATTTCCTAGGGTCTCTTCCTTTGGTAAATTGTTATTTATCCCATTAAACTACAGTATTTTATCTGTTTTTATTTCTTTTAACTTTATAAGAAAAATTAGTGTTATTATTCTTTACCTAATCTTTGTTCCTTTTGGTCTGTTTTTTCATATCTTTTCTTTTTTCTTTAACTTACAATAAGCCTGTTTGCTTATTTGAGCTATTTTTCTGAAAGCACTGTCAGCCAGACAGCAGTATTTCTACAAGGACCAAGAACTAATTCTCAAAAGTGAATTTTTTTTCACAAGTGTGTAAATTTACATTCTCTAGAAAAGCTTAGCTATTTGGGTTGTTATATTTCCTAAGGAGCACCTGTTTATTAAATGCTGTGAAGAACTGTATCATAATATGAGATGATACAAGTACTATAGGTAGGTTAGAAATATCTTATTTAAAAATAGAGCCTAAATATTAATAATTAGAAGTTTGGCAAACATAAAAATATATTCTTTAGTGTTCCTGGGGCTATTCTTGAGTTTGTTATCACTGTTAAGAAGGTATTTTTATATAACTAGTATGTAATCTCTTAAGAGAATATGTAAAGGATAATACATACTTTATTGTGACTGTTTTTCTTAATTATGTCTCTTCCATGGAAGAGCTAGATCTGCCTTAAAAGAATCCATAGTATATTCTTGCTTCCTTGGTTTCTTCATTATCTAAATGGCATCTGTATTATCAGATATTTTTCTTGACCAGCTAGGTGCATTAATTGGATAGTAGCTTCATAGACTTTGGAAAATTCGTTGTTTATATCAAGTTGTCTAAAACGAATGAGAATAATTGTTAGAAATAATTGACTTAAAATGACTTATATTTGCTGTCATAGATGTAGATCTGCCCATGTGTGTTTGTCTCCTCTCTATTTGGAGACAATATTAAAATAATACTAAAGAAAAAAGAATAAATTTACCATATTGAAGGGAAAGCAGAGTATTCTTGGTAGACAAGAGTTTACAACATATTTCTGAAAGAAACAAAGAGTAATGATGGATGAAGTGGATTATGACAGAAAACCATTTCCCAAAATATTCAAGAAGGGGTTGCAACAAAGGAAGATTCTGATATATTCAAAAGAATCTCAGAGAATCTTGGGATTGAGAAGATCAGAGACAAAGGATGGTTGAAAATGAGAGGGAAGAAATAGTTGACAAATGGAATAGTTGTGCTCCTTTTCCACTCAAACCCATGCACAGTGACAGTCCTTGTAATACTCCCTGTTTCTTAACTCACTCTGATTTCTCTTTCACATCAAAATATACAGAGGTTATTTCTTCTGTAAATAAAAACAAAGACAACACTAAAGGAAAAGTAGCATTGCCATTGCAGACACTTGTGTCTGCAGATAATTCCTCCTCATTCTAGCTTTTAGGGAATTCCCTATATAATATATAGCCTGTTTAATGGCTGATTCTTTGTTTTTCATCTGACCTAAAGCAAAGTATTCCAATCAGGAAGCTCTGCTCACGTGTATAGTGTTTCTATTCACTCTCATTGTTTCTTCTTTTTAAAGTATCAATGGTAAACCAAAAATTATCTTCAAAGAAATAAAACTAGCAGTATATAAATAAAACAGAAAAACTAGTACCATGTGAAGCAGATTTCTCTTGGATCAGAAGAGACCTTAAAAAAAATATATCTCTATTTAATATTCTCAGAGGGGAAAAATAAGTTTTCCTTAATAAAGCAAGAACACAGCAATTATTTTAAAAATCAGAACAAAAAAGTTATTGGAAATGAAGATATTGGTATAATTTAAAAAATGATGGTTGGAAGATAAATTGAGTAAAACTCTTTGAAAATAGAGCAAAAGACAAAGAACAGGTTATTTAACTAGCAGAAGTTTCAAAAACATAAAATGGAAAAGGTCAATTATCAGAAAAGCAATATAAGAAAATCTCTAATGCTTAAAGATGTAAATTTCCTGATTGAAAGGAAGAGGGGGAGAAAAGGGCTCAACACAATGAAGAAAGACCCACTCCTATTCATATCATTGTGAAATTTCAGTGTAACAGGAGGGGAATTCTGAAAAGCTCTTATGGAGGAAAAAAGAAAAAAGATATCCTGTAAAGGAATGAAAAATCAGATGAGTATAACTAGAGTGTAAAATCTGTTAGGGCTAAAGGAATGACTATAACAAATGTCCTCACAAGCAACACTGAGGGTTTAAAAGATAGTAAGGGAGTATCTTCAAAGTTCTGAGAGAAAATAATCTAGAATTTGGAACCTGTGAAAACTATCCAGTATGAGGTAAAATAAAGACATTCCCAAGCATGCAAGGGCTTAGAACAGTTATTCTTAAACCATAAAACCTTTCTGAATGACTTATTAAGGATATGGGCCAGTAAAATGATGATGAAAACTAATAAAGATGATGACATGGACTAAAAGAAATAGTGCACTAAGGAATTCAATAAAAGTAATTCCAGAATGGCAACAGTGCAACAGGTCTAGAAAGTAATTGGTTTAAATTAGAATAGAAAATCCAAGAAAAATGTCTTTAAGAGGAAGAATGGAATGGAATGGATTTCAGGCTATTGATAGATTAAGAAGCTGGTAGATATTAGTGATATGATAAGAAACATGTTTTTTCCTCTCAGTAACAAAAAAAAAAGACAATTAGAACTTTATGAAAAAAACCCCTGCATAACCAACATGCAGTTGCATGTTACAGCCATCTAAAATGAAGGATGAAATAAATTCTTATTTTTCATAGTCTAAAATTGCTAATTCAAGAAACAATATAAGCATAGAAGTAAATGTTAATTGTCCCAGGGAGAAGGACTTGGATAATAGGGCAATGGATATATATATATATATATATTTTTTTTTCAACTATGTGGAATTCCAGTGGTTTCATGATATTATACTGTTTGGATTTTTACAATACTTCTCTTACTTATTTTGTGATGGTTAGACATTTAGGTTGCTTCCATTTAAAAAAAAATTGTACTGTACTACATTAAACATTTGCAGATAGCTTTTCCCCTAATTTTAGAGTTATATTCCTGGAATCTAGGAATGGAATTATTGGATCAAAGATTAAAAGCATAATTAAAGTCTTAATATATTAGCCAACTTTTTATCCAAAAACTATGGATCTTTTCCTGATAACAACTCTGGCAGTATTAAGTGTTACTGTTTTGAAAAATCTTGGATAATTTGATACTTTAAAAATGGTATCTGAGGCTGGGCGAGGTGGCTCACGCCTGTAATCCTAGCACTCTGAGAGGCCGAGGCGGGTGGATCATTTGAGACCAGCCTGAGCAAGAGCGAGACCTCATCTCTATTATAAATAGAAAGAAATTAACTGGCCAACTAATATATATAGAAAAAATTAGCCGGGCATGGTGGTGCATGCCTGTAGTCCCAGTTACTCAGGAGGCTGAGGTTGTAGGATTGCTTGAGCCCAGGAGTTTGAGGTTGTTGTGAGCTAGGCTGATGCCATGGCACTCACTCTAGTCTAGCCTGGGCAGCAAAGCTAGACTCTGTCTCAAAAAAAAAAAAAAAATGGTATCTGAGGTTGAATATTTTTATGTGTCTATCATTTGTATTGCCTGTTTTGGGTCTCATCATGTATTTTTCCCATTTACCTTGTGGCCTCATATTTTTCTTATGACTGATAAAAGGTATTTATTTATGTATTAAGGATGATAACCATTTTTCTGTCATGTTTGCAAATGTTTTTCATCAAATGTTTATTCTTTTAATTTGGTTGTTTTTAAAATATGCTTTAGTTTTACATTTTTATGTGGTCAATCTTAGATAATTTTCTTTGTTCTTATTAGCAGGTTTGTTCTTTATCACCACCACCACCTCTTAAGCCCCCCGCCCCAAAATAAAGAAAAAACTGGCAATTTGATCATTGTTGTCCTGTTAAAATTCAGCATTTGTGTTTATTATAACTCTTAAGATGCAAGGGAATCACATGTATTTAACATTTATTCAGAAACAATTATATTTCAGGTACTTTAAATGTTGTCTAGGCTATGACAGAGTTTGTCTTTTCTCTAAATACTGTAAATAACTTATGTGTGAAAATATTGATAAATTATGGCCTCTTTTTAAAATTGTAAGTTGTATATTTTGCTTTTTGTATCTTTCATTGTAATTAATGGTAGAAACCTATTTCATGACTATATGATAAGTTTCCCTTCCTTTCCTTAATTGTAGGGTAAAAAAGTGTTACCTTCAGGCTGCTATTGTGAATTGTGGTCTACGGATGTGTTGTGGAGAAAACAAATTGCACAGCAATGAATATTCTTACCAGGATCTTATGAAATTGTTCTTCAGTGTTGTCATAGACTCTTCTGGAGAAAAGAATCTGTGAAATTATGTGAAAAGAGACCATTTTTCAAAACAATGGGGGAAAAAGCAAGAAGTCCAGGTAACGATCAAGAAAAAAAGGCAGAGAAACACCATTATTCTTACTATTCTTCTGATTTTGGAACTACACCACAGTCCTCTGGCCAATCGGTGGTTGAGTCTTCTCCCCCTGCAAGTGTTAGTGAAAAAGATCCTAAAAAACAGACTTCAGATAGCCAAGTGTGTCACCAAGGTAAGTATTTTTTAAAAGATTCTGTTGAACCTAGAAGACTCATTTTGAGTACTTGAGGAAAACTTGTATGAATAAACTCTTCTATTAGTATATATGTTGTTATTAAATATATATACAGAAATGGACTGATTTACATATAAGATTGGTTATATGTTTATAAATTTATGTAAATATTGCCTAAGGTACTATGTATTATCCTTTGTTATATTCAGAGTCATAAAATATATAGAAGAAAGTAACATAGCTAAGGCTTCTCATTTTGTTTTCTCTTCTTCCTAAATAGATGCTTTTCTTGGGGTTTCTAAGATATTGTAAAGGCAAAAAAATTACAAAACATTTTTACTCTTCTGTATCTTCATTTTTTAAAGGTAATGAAAGGCATTGATATAAAGTGGCTAAGGGGCATTTTTATAGATTGGGTAAACTTACTCTTGGTAAGTATTTACTGTAAAAGTTCAGATTAAACCTAGGAATGGAATTGGGGACTTGGGACCACAAGTCTAATTTGTTTTCTATTTAACCGCATTATAATGGAAACTGGATTAATCATTAAAAACAATTTTTGTTATTAAAATGTTACTAGTGTGGAACTAAATATTACATATTTTACCATATGATATTCTGTAAATGTTTTATTTATCTCAATAAATCTCTGGTTAAGAAAACTCCATTGTACCTAGTAACAAAATATGTAAGGTCTACAAGTACAGCATAGAAAAATAACCTAAGGCAAATGAGGTGATTACAGTATGCATTAATAAATGTAGTACAGTTATAACAGCAGTAGCTTAGAATGGTGACAGTTTAGATTGCAAGGTAGAGAGTGGTGAAATTGGGGGCTGAAAAGGAAAACAGAGGCCACATTATGAAAATCTCATATCCTATGCTAATATATTGACTATGTGGGGAATAGTTAGCCATTAAAAAGATATAAGGAAGGGTATAATTTGCCTTTATAAATTTTTACTTTGAAAAATAATATTTTCTCATTAAAACTTACAAGAATGTATATTCCTTTTGAAAGGAAACCTTTCATGCACCTTCAATCTAGCTTCTCTGGGATGTTCATACTTCTAATGCCTTTCCTTTTCTTTCTTTCCTTTTTTTTTTTGCAAGCACAGTGTTTTCAGTTTGTTTGTTTATGTGGGGTATTTTTCTCCGAGTCTGTCTCAGCCAGGAGCTCTTGTTACGATTTTGTAGTTGACAGCATGATCTGATGTTAAACTTTTGCTATATAATTAAGAACAAACAGATCTTAGGGTCGAACCTTAGAAAAATGCCTATTTTTCCCAAGAAATAATAGGATATAATTGGTAAGGAATACTTTAATTTTTTTCTTTGTTCCCCAGAAGGAACTTAGGAGGCCACCCAATTAAGGAGTCAGAACTTTGTAAGCCTTACCTTATTTAAGAAGATAATTGAGAAAAACTGTGAAAAAACAGTTCTAGCATCACCCAGAAAATTTCAGTTATCTTCAATCTGATTAGTATACTGTTTTCTATTTTGCACTGTCTTTTGAATTAAAATCTGTGGTAATTTGTTTGTCTTAGACCAAGTAACAGAACCAAACTGATACCTTTCCTTAAACACTAAATTAATTTCTTTCCGCTTAAATTGCAATCAGTGTAGAATAAACTAAGGAAAAAACAACTGAGATTAAAATAGCATCTTAAACACTTGGATTTGCAGATTTGCATGTTTGGTAGCATATTCTTCATTCTCCCTCCTTTTTAATTTTCAGCTTGCTTATTTATTTATTTATTTATTTACTTACTTACTTATGAATGAATGAATGACATGGTCTTGCTCTGTCACCCACGCTAGAGTGCAGTGGCATCATCATAGCTCACTGCCACCTTAAACTCCTGAGCTCAAGTGATTCACCTTCCTCAGTCTCCTTAGTAAGTGGGACAACAGTCATGCGCCATCACCACAACTGGCTAATTTTTCTATTTGTTTGTAGAGACAGGGTCTCACTCTTGGTCAAGCTGGTCTTGAACTCCTGACCTCAAGTGATCCTCCTTCTTCATCTTCCCAAAATGTTAGGATTACAAGCATGAACCATTGTGTCCAGCAGCATTTTTTATTATTTTAAAAGATAAAATTGGTGCTCTATCAGAATTTATATATATGATAAAATTTAATAATAATTTTGGTTATACATGTTTGTCTACTATATATCCATTCTTTGTTTTACCAGTAATATAAACATATCTTGAGTTTTTTGATATATGCATAGTTTATTTTTCCTACATGATTTTTAAATGAGTCAAGTTTATTTTTAACACCTGAAGGAAGAAAAAACATTTCTCACCCACTTTTTTTTTTTTTTTTTGAGACAGAGTCTCACTTTATTGCCCAGGCTAGAGTGAGTGCTGTGGCATCAGCCTAGCTCACAGCAACCTCAGTCTCCTGGGCTCAAGCAATCCTACTGGCTCAGCCTCCCGAGTAGCTGGGACTACAGGCATGTGCCACCATGCCTGGCTAATTTTTTCTCTATTAATTTCTTTCTATTTATAGTAGAGACAGGGTCTCACTCTTGCTCAGGCTGGTTTTGAACTCCTGACCTCGAGCAATCCACCCGCCTCAGCCTCCCAGAGAGCTAGGATTACAGGTGTGAGCCACCGTGCCCAGCCTTTTTCACCCACTTTTTAGTGGTGACTTAACAAGAGGGAGATGAAGAATGAAATATACAACAGCCAATTATCTTTCTAATTCTCTTATATTTCATCTTGATAATTTGAAAAATGGAAATAAAAGGTAGATGAAAGTTGGGAAATATTTCTGTGTTTAGGTTAATGATCAGTTTGTAGTCATACTAGTAGAATATGCTAAAAAATAAATGTTCAGAGTTTTAGGATGTCAAAAAGTTGGTTGTGGAAACCCTTTTGTATGTGACTAAATAGTTGAAAAAAGTATAAGTGAAAAATTTTTATTCTGATTCCTACATTATTAGGCTTTAATTTTTCATATAAATTGCTTTTGTGTGAAATCTTGTTTTCTGAGCAATGTAATTTTATACATAAGATCAGAGAGACATTCACCTTTATATGTAATCATATGTATAAAGTTTCTGCTATTCCAAGAGCTAAGTACAAATATCATTATATATATTATATATATTATTTACATATAATATATACCCCCGAACTTTGTTAACTCGGATACTGGAAAAAAAAGAAAATTTGAAATGATGGACATCTCAAATTTAAAATTATATTCTAAAGTAATGCTATGCAGTGGAAATATAATGCAAATCACAAATGCAAGCCACAAATGTAATTTTATATTTTCTAGTAACCATATTAAAAAAAGAAAAACAGATGAAATTGATTTTAATAATACATTTTATTTAACCCAGTCCAATATTTGGATTTAAGTATCTAAAATATTTCTATATATAGTCAGTATAAAACATTGGTTATGAAATATTGTGCATTTTTTTGAATTAAGTGTTCAAAATCCAGTATGTATTTTACAGTTTAAGTACATCTCAATTTGGATAACACACATTTTAAGTTTCTCAATAGCCATGTGTGGCTATTGGATAGTGTGGTTTTAAAGTTGTAATTAAGAATTCCCTCATTTCTTTTTATTACCACTTTTTTTCGTGTATTCAAGCATTTATAGAGCTGTAACCCTAAAGCAGTACACATTCAAAACAGCTTCTAAAAAATTATCTATGTTTTAATGAAACTTTATAATGTTAAATTGTAAAAATACTTTTTTTTTAAAACTTGTTTATATAATGGAATCAGGTATTCATGTCTGGTGAGCTAGGGAGGGAAAGGTTGGATATTCTAGTTTTTCTTCAGTTTTTTAAACCTCTGGAATGAATGTTCTCCTCAAAAAGTGCAGTCACCTTGGAGACTAAAGTTCATTATTCTTAACTGAAGCACAGACTTTGAGATGCCTCTTTTAAAGGACAGGTGCTCTGTATATTGAGGCTTCAGTTTAATGAACTTTTGGTAAAAATAAAAACATTATTCCAAACTTTTGAGAAATGTTGTGATTTAATAGGTTCACTTTAAAGATTTCATATGCTTACATTTTTTAGGATGTGATTATTTGTTTTTATCTTCTCAAATTATGTCAGGTGTTTTTGATTTGAATATCAGACAAAAGAAATCTGAGAAAGCATTTAGAATCACAGCTGTACTGCTGTTTTCCACTTTGATAAATGAGATGAAGTTCTTAACAGACAATAGGTAGAACTTTAACATACTTAGTTCATTTTACTCTCACAACCTAGTTATATTGGTGATATCATCCTCATTCTAGGGGTTGGGAAAACAGACTTGGGAAGGTTTAATTGAATTTCCCAAGGAGTTACTAAATGATAACTTTAAGTCCCAAATCTCCTGCTGTGTACAATATGCTGTCATTCTGTCCTTAAACGAAGTTGTAATTAATTTAGAGGAAATACACATTTTCACATTTCAAATATTGATTACAAATATCTCGGCACAAATGACTTGACTACCACAATGTTTTTTCCAATGTTTTGTTATGCACCATGCTAATACTAAAGATGCCCATGTTTGAATTCTGACTTACTATCTTACCTATAAAGTTAAAAATGGTTAAAGCCTGATACTATCTTCTCTTAAGCAATGTAGAATAATTCCATATAACTATGATTTTTGATCGATTGGAGTATTCTTGACCTTTCTGAAAAGATTGCAAACCTTAATAGAAACATATTTAGAGCTCTAAATAAAACCTGATATTTAACTAAATATTGTAAAACCATTTTTTTAACAGACAAAAATAACTAAAGAATCTTATGGGCTCATTTGTGGTAATATGAATAAATAAGACTACCTTTGATACATCTTTCACTTTATGTTATTACTATTTCTTTTTTAGTCCCTGGGAAACCAAGCCCTAAGGGTCTGCCTAACAGAAAGGGAGTCAGAGTGGGATTTCGCTCTCAGAGCCTCAGTAGAGAGCAAGTTCGGAAAGATACTGATTTTGTTACAAAACGGGTTCTTTCTGCAAGACTGCTAAAAATCAATGAGTTGCAGAATGAAGTATCTGAACTTCAGATCAAGTTAGCTGAACTGCTAAAAGAAAATAAATCTTTGAAAAGGCTTCAGTACAGACAGGAGAAAGCCCTGAATAAGTATGAAGATGCGGAAAATGAAATCTCACAACTTATAGTTCGCCATAACAATGAGATTACAGCACTCAAAGAACGCTTAAGAAAATCTCAAGAGAAAGAACGGGCAACTGAGAAAAGGGTGAAAGATACAGAAAGTGAACTATTTAGGACAAAATTTTCCTTACAGAAACTGAAAAAGATCTCTGAAGCCAGACATCTACCTGAACGAGATGATTTGGCAAAGAAACTAGTTTCGGCAGAGTTAAAGTTAGATGACACTGAGAGGAGAATTAAGGTAAATTTCCCACAGCTTCTAATTGTTCTGTCTTGGGTTGTTTTTCATTGGGCATTTGATATACTCTGTTTACTTATTTCAGTTCGGTGTTTGCTTGGAAATGAAAACTATTTTTAGTGTTATCTTTCTGAGTAAGAGATAAATTTAAGATTGTATATTTAAGAGCAAGATGCAAAAGATGATTTATGTTAATGAGACACATGTTGATGGATGAATGTTTAATTCTTTGGATCGTAGTCATTTTGGGAAAATATTATATTTGATTATCTGATTGTTTCTCTAAAGTTGAAAATGATGCTATAATAGCCATAGTATATAAAACTGACCTTTGGGGCCATAATGTAAGAAATGCCACATGAACAATGCTTTTTGTTTTTATTTCTTTGCATATTATTTAAGGTTGATAATACTACATCTGTTGGAGTAGGGTGTACTCTACTCCCCAAAATAAAAACTGATAGGGGCCGGGCGCTGTGGCTCACGCCTGTAATCCTAGCTCTTGGGAGGCCGAGGCGGGCGGATTGCTCAAGGTCAGGAGTTCAAAACCAGCCTGAGCAAGAGCGAGACCCCGTCTCTACTATAAATACAAAGAAATTAATTGGCCAACTGATATATATATAAAAAATTAGCCGGGCATGGTGGCGCATGCCTGTAGTCCCAGCTACTCGGGAGGCTGAGGCAGAAGGATCACTCAAGCCCAGGAGTTTGAGGTTGCTGTGAGCTAGGCTGACGCCACGGCACTCACTCTAGCCTGGACAACAAAGTGAGACTCTGTCCAAAAAAAAAAAAAAAAAAAACTGATAGGAGTGTGGGTAGGAGAATATTGAATAACTAGTCTGAGAGTACAGCAGATCTTTTAAGAATGTTTCTTTCATGAATGGAGAGAGGAAAAGAGTTCTATACCATGACTTTTACACAGGGAACTTAGATGCCATCTGCTATATATAGATCATGCAGAATCCCTGAGTCAGTTCTGTTGCTTAAAATTGATAAATAGTTTGGAAAGCAAAGGTAGGAAAAAGTATGGGAATAATGCCTGCTATGAGAATTCTCTGAGCAAAGGAAGCTTAGAACTATAAATAAATTAGTGGCTCACGCCTGTAATCCTAGCTCTCTGGGAGGCCGAGGCGGGTGGATCATTGGAGCTCAGAAGTTCAAGACCAGCCTGAGCAAGAGCCAAGACCCCGTCTCTACTAAAAATAAAAAAAAAAAAAAACAAACGTTAATTGGCCAACTGAAAATGGAAAAAAAAAAAAAATAAAGGAATAAAAAAAAATTAAAAAAAAATAGATAGGTTTAAAAAAAATAAATAAATTAGACTTCTGAATATATTAATTAGGTATATTTAATACATGGCATGTTATAATACTTAGTCTGTATCATATGCCATGCCCATTATACCAGTGCCATACCCAGTGACAGTGGCTTATTAAATACAGTGTACTTTAGTGGCCAGAAAAGTGCCTAATTTACTCTCCGAAATTTGCAATTATTATCTTCTGTTTAGAACACAGGAGATATCCTATTATATAGGCTCTACTGATGGTCAGCTCAAAGTGCAAAGCAAACATATGGAAACTTTTTTTCTTAAGGGCCACTTACTCTTGGGGTGGCATGGGAATGAGCACTGGGAGCAGTTATCACCATATACAACAAATAACTTAACAGTTTAGTTATTTTTAAAGGGAAATATGCCACATAATGGATTTTAAAATTAGGAATGAAGAGCCTAAGTTGCTAATTAACAAATACGATAAATAACTGAGTGTGTTTATGTATAAAACTACATGTATAGAGAGAACATAAAATTGCAGTACACACACACACACACACACACACACACACACACCCACATATCCTGCAGTTCTCTCATATAGTCAGTTATGTAGGGGATTGATGAGTGGTGGGGAGGAAAGAGAAAGAAAGAACTGAGGAAAAATGAGAATTGGCTTGTGTATTCTGAGTTATAGATGGAGGTAAATTATTAATATATGGCTGCTCATTTGGGAGTGTGAAAATTAGTCATCTGTAATGGTAAGTCTTTGAAACTGTTAACCATATAGTGTCCTCAATTTTTTATATTGGATTTTAAGAAGTTTTTAAGTTAACTTTCTATTTTTAGTTAATTGTAGATTGGCATGCACTTATAAGAAAATTATATAGAAAGATCCCATTTACCTTTCACCTAAGTTTCTTATAGTGGTAACATATCGCATAACTATAATATAATGTTACAACCAGGAAATTGGTTGTGATACATTGATATCCATCAACCTTACTCAGCTTTCACTAGTTTTACATGTATTTGTGAATGTACTTGGCTCTATCCAATTTTATCACATGCACAGACTTCTGTGACCACTGCCACTGTCAAGATACAGACCAGTTCCATCACAAGGATCCCTTGCATTACCCTTTTACAACCACAGCTACTTCCTGCCTTCCGCCTCTCTAACCTGTGACATCCACTAATCTGTTCGTCATCTTTATAATTTTGTCATTTCAAGAATGTTATTTAAATAGAATATATATAGTAGAATTTATAAATATATATAAATGTATATAAACAGAATATAATCTTTTAACATACGCAGATTTCCCTAATTTACTCATCTAAGTTGTTGTATTTATCAGTAGTTCCTTTTATTCCCTGAGTACTATCCCTGGCATGGATGTACCACAGAGTGTTATGGTACATTGTGTTACAGACATTTGGTTTGTTTCCAGTTTTTGGCTATTAACTAATAAAACTGCTATGACCATTTTATGTACAGGTTTTTGTTTGAACATAGATTTTCATTTTTCTGGGATATATGCCCGAAAGTGTACTTTCTGGATTATAGCATAAGTATATGTTTGATTTTGTAAGAAACTGCCATTCTCTTTTCTAAAATAGTAGTACCATTTTATATTTCTAACAGCAGTGTATAAGTTGTCAAATTTCTAAGCATCCTTACCAGCATTTGGTGTTAATGCTATTTTTTATTTTAGCTATTCTGATAGGTGCGTAGCACCATCTCAATGTAGTTTAATTTGCATTTTCCTAATGGCTAATGATGTTGAGCATCTTTTCATGCACTTATTTGCCACCTGTAGATCTATTTTATTCATATTTTTGCCAATTTTCTACTTGGATTGTTTATGCTTTTACTGTTGATTTCTGAGAGTTCTTTGTTTATTCTAATTACAAATCCTTTGTCAGATATGTGGTTTGCAAATATTTTCTCTTAGTATGTAGTTAGTTGTCCTCTTCACAGGGTCTTTCAGAGGAAGTTTTAAATTTTGTTGTGGTCAATTTTATCAGATTTTTCTTTTATGTATTGTGCTTTGGTGTCAAGACTAAGAACTCTTTTCCTATTCCTATTGTCCTTGACCTGTTGCCTCAGAGATTTTTGCCTGTGCTTTTTCTAAAAGTTGTCTTCCTCTAGCATTATTGAGGCCTAATTGACAAATAAAGATTATATGTATTTAAGGTATACAATTTGATGTTCTGTAAAAGTCTTATGATTTTATGTTTTATATCTAAGTCCATGATTTTCACTTTGAGTTAATATTTGTATAGAGTGTGAAGTTTACGTTAAGGTTCAATTTTTTTTTGCTATGGATCCCCAGTTGCTCCAGCATCATTTGTTAAAAAATTCCTTCATTGAATTGCTTTGGCACATTTGTCAAAAATGAGTTGGACATAATATTGTGGGTTTATTTCTGCATTCTCTATTCTGTTCTATTGATCTTTTTTGTTTGTTCCTTTGCTATTACCACACTCTCTTGATTACAGGCTTCATGGTAAGCCTTAACATTAGAGTCCTCTCATGTTATGCTTCATTTAAAAAATTTTAGCTATTTTAGCTATATTAGATCCTCTGCCTTTCTATATAAATTTTAGAATAAGCTTGTGTAGGTCTACAAGCACCTTCCTGGGGTTTTGATAGGGATTACATTAAACATAGATCTATTTATGGAGAATTGACATCTTTACTATGTTGAATCTTCCAATTCTTGAGCGTAGTATATCTTTCCATTTATTTAGGTCATCTTTGATTTCTTTCACCATCGTTTTGTAATTTTCAGGATATAAATCTGCACATGTTTTGTTCGATTTATACCTAAAAAATTTATTTTCTTTGGAGCAATTGTAAATGGTCTCCTTTCTGAATTAGAAAATTACTTTTGAACTTATATTTTTGAATTTCAAATCTTATTTTTGTTGTAAAGTTATTTTCACAAGGGGTTATGAATGCTTTATTCATACCAAGGAATGACTTGGTTTAGGAGTTTACTCTTAAGTTTTAGGAGTATTGAGTTTATCAGCTTTATGCCTCAAGTTGGGTTGGTAGATCTAAGCTGCTTCATTTTTGCTGTAAGTGAAATTATATTGGAATAAAAATTTAATATGCTATTATGAACCTACTTTTCTGAAATCAGTAATCTCACTTCAGCTGTCATACCGCACTAGCTCTCTTCTGAATGAGGTAGCCTCTGCAACCCAGCTCTCAGGTCATTACTATCTACTTTTTAGCTTACCGTTTTATATTTACAAAAGCCTCTGGTTTTTAACCCAGTATGTATTGTTAACATCTTTCATGATCTCAGAAGTCAACCCAGAATTTGAAATATTTACTGTTGAGTGTCCTACTTTATTGTGAAATTTAGCCTTTGTTTTTGTACCTCATTCAGTTTTTAAAATTTTATTTTATCCAACAATAAGTTAATTTTTTTTCTTCTAACTCAGTAGGTTATAGTCATACTATTAATTGGTTAAGAAAGCTAGGAGCTTGATTGTGCTATTTCATTTTGCAAATTAACTAAAACCCAAGAAAGTGCTAGATATCCTTTGAAATTGCAGTAAAATCTTAGTTGTGCTATCTTTAAATTCTATGCTTTTCTTTCATAAGGATGGCTGTCTATATGGTGTTGGCTTTTGTTTTTCTTTTGTGATGGCTTTTTGATTCATTTTAAGATAAAACAAGGCTGGAACTGTAGCTGGCAGCTTTGTTTAT